TTGTTGTCATAAGCAGAAACGTAATTTTAAGCTGAGTGTATGTTAGAACTAATAGTCTATTCTATTTAAAGTATATTGTAATATTAAAAGACTATAATCACAGAAAATGTAGTTAATAGTCAAAATATGAAAGGAAAATAAACATTTGTATGAAAACCAAAATGTTTAGTGTAGAACTCTGTTACAGAAAAATGTTCATTAAAAAGCATTACACTAATTTTTGAAAACAGGGAAATTTTAAAGCAGTGGCAGAAATGTCTGTTTTAAAGACTGTTGAAAATATATAGAAGCCTAGATAATTTGGCTAAGTTCATAGAATAGCAAACAAATGACCTAATTACCTAATTTGAGGCCTTAATAGTCATAAATACACTGGACCAGTGATGGCAAACCCATTCGAGCTTTCAATAATACAAACAGCCTGCTGTGGCAGGCATGCCATAGGTTTGCCACCACTGCACTAGACTATTGTATGATGACTTGATTTCATTTTAGCTGTGTGACTGTGGCCTTAAAACTTATAGTTGTGGTAATATTAGAGTACCAGGTATTACATAGCCAATTCCCTTTTTAGAAATCAAATGAATTTTGACTTACAGCCAACTTGGAGCCATGCTTTATTTTTGTAACCAGAGTTTTTATTGTTCCTAGTAATATGCTTTAAATATTTTGAATTATCTCACTTAAAAGTAAAAATAAATCTAGAGAACATATTATGACAAATGTGAAAATATTCTGAGGATTCTAAAATAAAATAAATTTTGCAGGACTCTGGAACATTAAAATTCATTTAACTTCAGGGACAGTTCCCTAGATGCCCCAAATTCTTATTTTCTATACACTATTTCTGAAAAAATCCTAACAAAATTAACCTTTTTAAAGAAACTTTTGACATGGAACTTCTACAGCTCTTCTTTCCTTTTCAGGGGAATTTAGTGATGGCTCCAATGAAGCTGGTGGTATCTACCAAGTCCTAGAAATACCATATGAGGGTGATGAGATAAGCATGATGCTGGTATTGTCCAGACAGGAAGTTCCACTGGCTGCTCTAGAGCCATTGGTCAAAGCACAGCTGATTGAAGAATGGGGCAACTCCGTGAAGAAGCAAAAAGTAGAAGTATACCTGCCCAGGTGAGAGCCTCTGGTGCAACTCCTCCCACAGCAGGAAGGGAGGGCTTTCAGTGAAGGTGTGACAATAAAACACTCTGTCTTCCTCCTCCTTCTCTTCTTCTCTCTCCTCTTCCTCCTCCTTTTTCTCCTCCTTAGTGTTCTTTCCTACTCAAATGTTTCTTTCTCAGGCACACAAGTTTACTTATTGATTCATTCAGTACTATGTACCAAGATCAAGATTCAGATATGATTCAATAGTCTTAGCTTTATTTTAGATTTTTCAATCGATTTGCTCTGAATATTATTTTCATTGACAGTCTTTTTATTTTGTTACTGAAGTTGACTGTAGCTGGAGGGTAAGTAATCTCTGGCATTGTTGGCAGAACTGCAAGTAAGTCACTGTCCTAGGTGCTGAGATGCAACCAAAAATAATCAAGAAGAAGCAACTCTGCTAAAAGCCCTCACTGTGGCTGGAAGAATAAAATCCATGCACAATCTTTAATATCCTGACTGCCATTTACTTCTTCAACTCCACCTCTGCCAAACAGCACATCAACATTTTGTAGCATGCTATCTTCATGTGTGATTGTAGTTATGCCACATACCTCATGCCCCTTTTATGTCTTGAAGTCTCCATTTATGTTCCTAAAATGCCCTTTTCACATTTCCTTGCCAGATATTATTGTTTACCCTTCAGAGTTCACTCTGACTCTGGTTATTCTAGGAAGCCTCCCCTGAGCTATCTGTTGAAGCAGGTGCCCCTCACTCATGACTCATTTTTGCATCTCCTTATTATTACTTGATACCATCCCACAATAACATTGTCATCTATGAGTCCTGCTTTCCTTCTGTGAGTTCTAAGGTAGAACCAGTTTTCTTCAGCAGAATAGAGATACAGCAAACGTCTGTAAAATGAAACTCAGCTGATGATACTTATTCCATCCTTGAATACCTTAAAACCTAGTAGAAAGCTAGATTAGTTAACACATATAACATGTTTATAAACATAATGTGTAAACTTAGGCTAGACCACAAAACACACCAATAAATAACAGATAAATATACATGTATATGTGTCAGGACAGTTCTAACACTCATTCCAAATCAAGAAAATGGTTCAAATAAAATTAGTTACTGTGAAAATTGAAAAGTGATAAATAAGGCTAAATAAGTGATTAAATATTAATGCTGAATTATTTAAAACATTTATGTTTTTAATTTTTAAAATGTTTACTATTACATTTTGCAGTGCTTAATGATCACATTCCTCATGGGGAGTTGGTACATGTACATAACACATCTCGTTTCCTTTTACTTCCCCTTCCCTTCCCCTTGATCCCCCTTCTTTCCATCTCCTGGTCCCCTTTCCAATTGGAAAAGATCTATCTCCCTGTTTCCTATTACTGTATCTATCTTTTATTTTGATCTTTAAATCATTTTTATTTATTCTGATTTAGGGAATCCTCAGGAAGAGTACAAGTCTGAGGGGGAGGAAAGCGAGAGGGACCTATTGGGATTGAAGTTGATTAAGATATATTAAATGTATGTACCAACTTCCCAAAATAGGCCCCATCATCATGTAATATTAACAGCCACTCAGAAAATTTTTTTTAAAGTTACTTCTTATATAAATACCTATTTTTACAAAAGCTTAGCTGATACTTTGCTTATGTTACTGAAAGAGATCTATTTGGAATTATAGATATTTTTGGCTAGAACATATTTTTGGCTAGCCATTACCATACATAAGATATAGTCATACATTTCTTAGCTTGTTTATAAAAATTAAGGTAATCCAACCGAAGTGTTTCATTTTTTGTGTGTGTTTGGCTAAGATATTCAGCATGACTCACTTTCTATGACAATACATTTATATAGAAAAATTCCACTATAAATCTGCTATCAAGGATAGTCAATGAATATCTAACAAATAATGCTACTTTAAAAATATATAATAATTGAATCTATACTTTTAAAAGGGGCTTTACAATGGCTTTTGAAATATTTGAGATTATGCATGAATTTTGTAAGTAAATAAAACAGTTTCTTGATGTCTTACAAAAATATGTGATAATTGATCTTATAAAATACATAAACAGTGTATCTTGACTCCAAAGTACAATTTACTTTCAAACAATAATATCAGCTTAAATTGTATTCTAAATCAGATCTAAACTTGTTAATCAATTAGTCCACATTAATGTTCATCTGTTGAACTTTCTTCATTAATTATTTTTGTGGTATTTTCTAAGGAATTCCTTTTGATAATATCAGACATTCACTAGTGTTCATGATTGCTTCATTAACATGTATAAGTTAACAACAGTGTCTCCAAATGCTTTCTGTGAAGATTTAAAGTTGTTGAGAAATATTTTAACAGAATTCTAAATGAATGCTTAATAAATATCACATATTCTAACTCAACCATGTTCATTAGAAAATATGGCCCCTGGGTTCCATCCACTGAGAAATTGAGGGTTGCAGCAGAAGAAAATTAAATTTTCATTTTCTAACAGATACTCTTCAATTATGAAATAGTTTAGTTCACTTGCTCATATTAATGCTTGTACTAAACTAGGCAGCTAATTACCATATATCCATTCTTCCAAGAGTTTTACAAACTCCCTCTGGATGGCTAATGTACATATAGGGAAGTTAAATAGCTAGATAAGATAAGCTTAGTTTCCCTTTTGAACAGAGTAAGAGTTTTCAAATACTTAACATGATCTATCAATGGGAAACTACCCTCCATCTCCATTTTACGGCACTAAACATTCAATGAAGGTAATGATTTATGTGACCCACTTTTAGCATCGGTAAAAATGTTTCTAATAGCTGTATTCTTGGGTTTATTCAAGTATCAGTCTTTAATGATTTTAAAGATTTATTCATGTAAAGACAGTATTCTGAAAATGCAACCCTGAATTCCTACAATTTGATCACATTCTTGTCCTGCTTCACAGAACTGATTTTTACTTTCTACTATACTAGAACTTATACAAATATTTCTTAAATGTTCTCCTTAAAAAGTATAGGGTATTTGACAAGTGGGGTATAAAAAGGACAATTACTTATGTAATTTTCTGATTTTTCCCCTGAATAATAAATCTTATA